GATCCTTCTAGCTCAGCCTTCCAAGTAGCTGGAACTACAGGCGCGTGCTACTACACCTGGCTAATTTTTTGATTTATTGTAGAGATGAGGTCTCGCCAAGTTGCCCAAGTGGGTCTCGAACCCGTGGGCTCAGGCAATCTACTCACCTCAGCCTCCCAAGGCACGGGATTACAGGCTGAGCCACTGAGCCCGGTGAGACGGCATCTCTGAAAGGTCTTTGAAAAGGTCAGAGAGCAAAGGTTCAATAGGAAAAAATGTCCTCCTGTGTCAGGGGATGCTGCCTTGCATTTCTTTTTCAATCTCTGGGGCATGGAAAGCTACATTTATCACAGTTCCTTCTCGCTCTAGAACATATCTTTGTTTACTTGCTTTATAGCAGTTTAGCACCTTAAGACCAGAAGAGAGCCTGGTACAGCCCTCCCCTACTGAGGAGGGACAGAAGAGCCTGAGTGGCACACTCAGTATCAGCAGCTGGTGGGGACAGAACTGGGGCCCCCTCTCCAGGTTCAGAGCACAGTGTCTTCTACTCTGCCTCTGATCCTGGTGTGTTGGCGTCATTTGGCCTGTGGCTGTCTCCTTGGTGTCTGTGCCCATTATAGATGTGCCTGCATGCCACTGCAGCTGTGAGCCCCAGGGCCAGGGCAGGTTCTTTCAGGACCTGCAGGAACTAGCCCAGAGCACCAGGAGATGTTAGTGAGCGTGTGTGGAAGGAACCAGAGTGACTTTATTTTGGTATAGTACCTAGCTAGTGGGCATCCCCGAAGGTGAGGGCCTGTCTTCCACCCCTGCTGCTTTATTAGTTTGTGGTCACACGGCACTTTTGGCTCTCCCCTCAGAGGAAGCACTGAGGCCTTCAGGAGGCCTCTCTGCCAAGTAGGCAAAGAGCCTGGATGCTGCATTTCTGTGTAACTTGTAGATGGAATCCCAAACCTACTCATGGATCGGTGGGGTGGGGTGGGGTGCTGATGGTCTTAGTGAGGGCTCTAGTGCTTGTAGATGAAATCATGCTGTTGACGAGGTTTTTAACTTGGTTGTTAAATATGTTCTGGGGGCTCTTAATTTTATTTCTTAGAATACTGATGAAAATGCCTCTTGGTATAGCCAAGTGCCTGGTTCTTGGTGCATTCCTGGAGAGAATTTGTAAATTTTGGGTTAGTTGAATTATGAGTCATGGTTGGGATGTGGTGCATTAGAAGTAAGGTTTTCTTAATTATATATTTTTTTGGTAGAAATGAGGTCTTGCTATGTAACCCAGGCTGATCTCCAACTCCTGGGCTCAAGCAGTCCTCCTGCCTTGGCCTCCCAAAGTGCTGGGATTATAGGTGTAAGCCACTGCACCTAGTTAGAAGTAGGGTTTTTGAGACCCAATTTTTGGAAACAGAAGACTAGAAAAGTTATGGAAAGATATTTCTCTCTGGGTAGTTATTCCCCCTCCTTCTTCTCTTTTCCTTTGAGGGCAGAGACTCCCTTGAAGAAAAATACCTGCTGTTAAGCTAGGGTAGTGGTGCACTTGTAATCCCAGCCACTCAAGAGGCTGAGGCAGAAGGATTGCTTGAGCCCAGGAGTTGGAAGCTGCAGTGTGCTATAATTGCGCCTGTGAATAGCCACTGCCTCCAATCTGGGCAACATAGTGAGATCCTGCCTCTAAAAAACCAAACCAAAGCAAAAAACCAGTGCCTGTGAATGATTAACTTTGTGGGCTGGAGCCCCTGCGCAGTAGGTCAATGATATTTGTCAAAGAAGGGTGGATATCAGCTATGGTTTTGGAATACATCCATGTGTTAATCTCCTCACAGTTGACAGAATGTGTTTGTTAGCAACATCTGTTTATTAGTAGTTTATTGATTTGAGAAAAACAGGTTTGCCTTACAGTATGCAGGAACATATAGTATTGTGATGTTATTTCCATGTGCATTGACCCTTCCAGAGGACCTGGCTCTTGGCATCTCTCCTCCCTGGATCTGGTGCCCACTATGTAGGGGGAGACTTGGCACCAACCAGAAGTTCACTGGTTGTTAGGATGTAACCATTTAGGCAGAAAGAAAGGCATAACTAACTACTTTTTCATGTGTACTTTTAAAAGATGATTTAATTATTTGTCACTTTGAAAATAGGATATGTGAACTAAAAAAGCTAGGAAAGTACAGTTAAAAAAAATACCAAGAGTTATTACTCATAGTTCCCAAATGCAGGAATTTAAAGATCGTAGGTCCATTTACTTAACATTTTTTTACTCTTATAAATGGTTTGGGTTTTTTTTTTTTTAAACCATCATTGTAAAGGAGGTATAATTTGAGTCTGCTACGGAGTTGTGTTCAGAGTAAACATAAAAACCAGAAGAGTTAGTATTAATCTCCAGGGAGTCCTGGGCATCATCACTGCAACATGTAGGCCCCGAAATGGGTTTTCAAATTAAACTTTCATAGGTGCAGGGGGGCCAGGCAAGCTAAATTGGCCAAAACGTCACTTACCAGCTTTGCTCTAGTGAAACTTTAGAATTTGGTTATGATAAATTGGATGGAAAATTCAGGCAGGATTAGTTTTAAACTGGAAAACAAAGTGAATTAATTAAGTTTTGGGAGCAAGTTCTGAGGAAGATCTGACACCAGGTTGTAGGTTTGGTGAGGTTTTGGAATTACCAGAACTTGTGACCTATGGAAAACTCTTGTCTTGTTATCTGGATTGGATTTAGAGAAGAGCCAGGGGAAGGCCTGTTTATGGGGATCCCTGGGACAGTGGGGTGTGGTGGATAGTCCAAGGGCCACCAGCCAGAGTCCTTCTGAACAAATGTGGCCAGAGCCCCTGCCTTTACCATTGCATGTCCCGGATGTCTCTTTCAAAAACCTCCCTCCCTTGAGCCTAGTGGGCTTTGGTGGGTGCTTCTCATCCTGACCCTGCACTTAAGGGTGGTGAGTGAAGTATGTGATGTGTGTTGGGGGTGGAGCCAGGGCCGGCAGAGCCGTTGGAACTGGCACCAGTCACATTTGAGCTCTGATTACGTGCTGTCTTCCCAGTCCTGGGCATTTGCTATGTGGCGCTTGACCTTGTTTATTTAAAAACAATTTTAAAAAATTATTTATTTAAAATTGTGGGGTACAGTTCAGGGCTAGGTATACAAATATTCACCATGCAGGCATCCTTATCGATAAGGTGTGAAAAACAATTTTTCTAGAGACTTGGTCTCACTGTGTTGCCTAGGCTGGCCTTGAACTCCTGGGCTCAAGCGATCCTCCTCCCTCAGCTTATTGAATAGCCATGACTACATGCACCCTTGTTTATTTCCATAAAGTGCAGGAGTGCAGAGCCCAAGGCATGAAATGTCACCATGTGGTAGACTGAGCCAACCCTCTCTTCCCCTCCTGTCTTTTCCAAACATATGGTTACTTTCTCCAAACTTCCCTACTTTGATTAGGGTGCAGGTGGTCATTTGTGCATGAGCAGTGCTCTGTCCCTGCAGAAGTGCCTTGGAGTTGGGGGAGGGGCAGGCATTTGGGGAGGCAACTTGGTATAGGCACAGAGCAGCTGAGGGCTGGGATCCAGGGCCACCATCTGGGAGTTGTTTGACCTCAGCCAGTTAGTTAACCTCTGGTGTGTTTTTTCTTTTGTAAAGTGGTGTCAGCAGTAACCACATCATCAGGCCGTTTGTGAAGACTGGAAGGAGACATTGTGTGGAAAGCACCTCAGCTTGGTGCGTGGTAGCTGCTGTCATTTGAAGGTGTAGCTGATTTCTGAGGGCTGATTCTGGCAGGTCACTGTTCCAGGTTCCTGTGTATTTGTGGGTTTCTCTTGTTAAATAAAAGTTGTGTTATCCCATGACCAGGAGCAGAGACGATTCCTGCAGGAATCCCTAGAGTGCTGGGGCTGCTCCCATGCAGCGCAGGTGGATGGGAGCCTAAGGTCTCAGAAGTCCCCTGCGTTTTGGTTAAGGACCTTGTCAGAGCTCTAACACAGCCTTCGCATCTGTGCTTCTGTTAATTATTGTGATGAGAGGATCAAGCCCCAGGAGGCCTCTCTGTGACCGTCCCCTCCCTCCTGCCCATCCACGCCTGCATCTGGGCCCTTCTTGACTGCAAGGTTTGTTCTTGCAGGTCCCCTGCCTGAAGTGCCATCCACACCCCTCTCGTCTCTGACTTTCTCATCTTAGGGACTTAAAGCAGATCTCGTCTTTTCTGCTTACCTGGCCTGCTCTGCTCCTCCCTGCCCCAGCCAGAGAGCTCCTTGGATGCTTCTGTGGGATCTCCTGCTGTTTCTTCCTCTGTGTTTGTGTCCAACCTCCAGGTTGATGGAACCTCATCTTGACCCCCTCAGCCCAAGGCCCCTGGGAGTAGTTAATGATAACAAAGGCAGACCCTGACTACCATTGTGTGCAGTGGTTTTCAGCTTCTCTGACCCTGACCTATATTAAGAAACACGTTTTACACTGTAACCGAGTAGAGAATTAAGAGACTGGAGCATGAGAAGCAACACACACAACCAAGGGGAAAGCCAGTTTCACAATGCTGCTTTTTCTGTTCTGCATCTTGTTGTTGTTCATTTGTCTTGAATGCTGGTTAGGATCTTCTGAATTGATTACATTATGGGTTTGGACTGCCCTTTGAAAACCTTGGCTTGGGGAATAGTTGAAGCTGAGGGTGAGCTAACCCTGGGTTGGAGAGGATTGGGAGGGCTCTGGCTGTCCCTCAGTCTGTGGGTGTGTGTCAGAGGCTTCACTGGGCACAGCAGTTGGGATGGGACAGGCAGCTCCAACCTCTGAGGGGTCAGGTCAGGCACCACTGCCATGAGCGGCTCTCTGGGTCCTACAGGGAACTGCTTCAGGAGTGAGATGCTCGCACCCCAGCGTACAGTTTTGGGACCCCTGATTCAAGTCCTATTCTGCTGCACATTACTTTACCTTTCTTTGCCTTGTGGAGTGGTTGTGAGGCCTGGCCTTCTGCCCAGAGTTTGGCGTAGAGTTGGTCAGTGAGGTATGGGGCCCCTTCACTGACTTGGCCTCTTCTCTTCCAACCCTGAAGGATGGCTGCCATTTTGGGGGATGCTGTCATGGTGGCCAAAGGCCTTGCCAAGCTGACCCAGGCGGCCGTGGAAACCCACCTGCAGTACCTGGGCATTGGAGGAGAGCTCATCGTGGCAGCCAGGGCCCTGCAGTCCACAGCTGTGGAGCAGATCGGCATGGTCTTGGGCAGGGTGCAGGTAAGGAGGGCCAGCTTGGCAGTGGGAGGGGTGCTGGTGGGAAGGGGGCCCCAGACACTTGGCTTTTTGGTGCCTGCCTTCTCCCAGAGGGCATGGAGGTTCAGGTGACTCCAGGAACCTGTCTCCAGCTCCTCAACAGATTTGCTTCCATGTTCATTCTGCAGACATTTACTGAGTCTGGGTCCCACTGAGTCATTGGGACTCTCCACTGTTCTTAGGCTCCCATGGCCACATCTACAGGTATTAGTAATGCAGGACCAGTGGCCATCTTGGGAGTTATGGTGCACAAGGAGGGGGCTTGCTCCGGACTCCCTCTCTCCATGGTTTCCCTGGCCATTTGAGAGGGGCCCTGTGAATCTAAATACTATTTGTTTCTACTCTGAGAAAAGTGCTGTCAGGTGGCTTAGGGGCAGCCTGCAGGGCCAGCCTGGGTGTTTTATCCCTGTTCTGCCATTTGCTGGCCAGTAGCCTTTGCCAGCACATCAGCTCTCTGCCTCAGTTTCCCATTTGTGAAATGAGAGTTACAGCCAGTCTCTCTCTTCCCGTGGAAGGGCAAGTCTATCTCTTTAGATCGTGATATCTTAAAAAGCTGAGGTGAGAGGGCTCTGGGTCTCCTACTGGTTTACATGATTGTACGCAGCACATGGGCTGCTGGACTGGTTAATCAGTTTCAGCTGAACCAGGGAATCTAGCCCACTGGTCTCCTTTCAGAAGTCAGTGCTGTTCTAATTATAGCCTCCTCGGCACTGTTTCCCTGGCTCTGTCTGTGGCCCCACATAACTCTGTGACTATGGGGAGCCCTATTTTCAGATGAGGAAGTAGTAGAGAAGGGTCTGGAATTCACTCAAGGTCACTCCTTGTTCAAAGTAGAAAGGACCTGGGCCTGAAGCTTAGGTCTTGGTGACCCTTACAAAGACAGCACAGCGTGTCCTCTAGTTCTCCCCCACATCCCCCTGTACTATGAGCTCTCAGGGACAGCTGGGCCTGGGCCTGGGCCTGGTTGTGACCACCTCTCCAGTGAGCACCTTTTAAATATATGCTCTGGGCCGACTGGTAGAGTTCATGTCTGCAGTGAGGTGCTGGGCAGGGGGCTAGGGGGTAGGTGGTCCCCATCTGTGTGCTTCCCTCATTCCTCGCTGGCCTTTGGCTGTGATTTCACCTCAGGAAGCTTTTGCACTGCTTGACCCTCCCTAAAGCCCTGGAGGTCCCCCCTTTGACCCTGATTCATTGGTGAAGAACTTGCTGCTGTGGCATGCTGTGCACTTGACCTGGCCCTGGGTGGGTGTGTAGTAGGTGCTCAGTGATCTGCCCAAAACCACAGAGCCCTGTCAGAAGCTGGGCTGGAGTTGGGTCCCGGGTCCTGGACTGGGAAGCGTGCTGTGGGCCTTGGGTGTAGCATCTTGTTACCTCTGGAGAGCTGGACTGCGATGGTGTGTTGTCCTATGCAGTGGGGTGGACACAGGGAGAAGCTCCTGTTCACTCTTGCCTCCCTCACACTGGCCTTTGCCCCCCGCAGGGTCAGGATAAACGTGAAGAGCCTTTTGCTGAGAACTTCGACGACCTGGAAGCAGAGTTACACTTGTCAGACCCACAGGCAGCTGGAACCTCTGCAGACTCCTCTGCAGCCTCCACTCCCGACCAGTTGTCGCCTCCGCCCCTGGGCCATGTCCACAGCGAGGGCCCGGCTCTTGCCTTTGTGGCCAGTGGACCCTTTAGGGAAGCCGGGCTCCCAGGCCAGGCCGCCTCCCCTCTGGGCCGGGTCAATGGGAGGCTCTTTGCAAATCCTAGAGACTCATTTTCTTCCATGGGCTTCCAGCAAAGGTTCTTCCACCAGGACCAGTCCTCCATGGGGGGCCTCACGGCTGAGGACATCGAGAAAGCCCGGCAGGCCAAGGCTCGCCCTGAGAGCAAGCCACACAAGCAGATGGTGTGTCTGGAGGGCCCCCTGAAATGGGACTGGTGTGGTTCCCCCACAGTGGGTTGCTGGCTTTGGCCCCCACTTCTGAGACTTTTTCTGGGTGCTATGGTCTGGGATTTTTTGGAATGTGGAGGCTGCTTCTTGGTGGATTGTGCTGCCATGTGGAGCTGCTGCCTTTGGGGATGGAGAGGGTATGTGGGGGCAGTGTGAACCCCTGAAGGTTGGTGCTGTCCCCTGTTCACTGACTGCACAAAGTCTCTTTCTTTTCTCCCTCCAGCTCAGTGAGCAGGCTCGGGAGCGGAAGGTGCCAGTTACACGGATTGGGCGACTGGCTAACTTTGGAGGTAAGGTGGCTGTGTGCCCTGGGCCACCTCACTTGCCTTGCCATACCAATCCTGGCTGAGTGGAGCTAGGGCCACCCTGGGGCCTGCATAGAGGTGGAAGTGGTTGGGGACCCAGCGATACCTGGGGGAGGCTGTTGGAGAAGCAGGTAGCAGTGGCTGCCCCGCCGTAGCTGTTGGGACTGGCTGTTTTCTGTGGGCGGATGATGCCGTTATTAGATTCCAGCTCTGCTTGGGCTCCCCTTGGGGCTGGTGTGCAGCAAATGCTGTACTGTGAGCTGCAGCATGGATTGCCTTTCTGGCCTCGCTGGGGGGCAGTGTCTCCAGCATCAGCTTTTCCTTCCTGCCTCAGCCTCACCACCAGTCAGCTGCTTTGGAAGCCTCTGCGGAAAGGAGGCCAGGTAGTGAGTACAAGTTCTCACTAGACTGTATAGCTGCTAAACTGAGCACTTTTTGCCCTTGGGACCACCGTTTGGGGAAACCATTTGCTGAATCCCCACAGACCTGCAGTTCATGAGAGGAATGATAACAAGACATTGTGGCCCTCAGCTGCTGCATTTTAATATATATTAGCATTTGAGCTTTATTTGTGCTTTCCTTTGGGGGATGGAGTAGTCATTGTCCAGTACACTGGGCTCTTTTTATATGAGTTGAGGATAATTTTATAGTGAAGGTTTATAGCAGTTGTATCAGCTTTTATGACACCCCATGGTTATAACTATTGCTTATTTACTGACCAAGATGTTACCATTAAAATATCACCTCCTTTGCAGTGGTATTCGTAAGAAGGAGTTACTGGAAATGCATTTTGTTTTAAAGCTCAGCTGTCCTCAGTAGGTTCTCCAGGCAATGTAATTAATGACAGCAACAGTGTTGGCAGCTTGATTCATGAGAGTTATTTGCAAGGCAGCATAGAGCCAAGGTCTGCTGGGTTCATGGTGGTGCTGTACTAAGCGTGTCCTGCAGCACCACTGTTATGTTGTCTTTTGCTTTGCTTGGACTAGTTTATGTGTCCTCCTTCTCATGCATGCTGTTCTCTGCTGCATCTTCTCTATTGGAAACCCCATCCTACTCACCAAGATAGGGTCTGGGCAGAGGCTCACATACTGTGCCTCTGAAAGCTTGGAACTCTAGGAATGGGACTGATGTGTGGAGGTGGCGGAAGGGGAGCCAAGAAAAGCCAGGTCAGGAAAGAATGTGCTGTTCTGGCCTCAGTGGTGAGTTCTGGGCCTTCTACCTCACCCAGAGGTTTTCAAACCATAGGTTTATGAACTTTAGTCAGTGTGAAATCATTTGAATGGGTCAAGACCAGCATTTAAAATATATAATACAAGGTGAACAGAACGGAATTGAACCAAAAAGATCAGAGTTAATATTATAGCTCCTTAAAAAGAACTACACACAGGCTTGGGAGCGGAAGGTGCCAGTTACGTGGATTGAGTGACTGGCTAACTTTGGAGGTAAGGTGGCTGCGTGCCCAGAAATATTTTAGTTTCAGAGATATAAACATACTGTTTATGTTCTTCATTGTAATGTGAAATACATGGCTTACTGGTGGGTATCTGGATTATAATTCCAATCCTGCTTCCTGTGTGATCTAAGGGCCTACTTTTGTGTTCCCTTTTCAGTGCCAGTTAGAAATGAGTGTTTCTTGACCTGTGTGTAAGAATATGATTGTTGAAATTAAGCTTGTTATAAATGCACAGGCAATAGTTTTTTACATAGCTGGGGTAAGTGTAGTTGTTATATTTTTTAGTTGTTGTTATAATAAAAGGGGTAAAACCTCCTAAAATCTGTCAATCTAAAACATCTGTCGCCCAGACTGGAGTGCGGTGGCCGTTCCTGGCCACCGCAGCCTCGACCTGCTGGGCTCCGGTGATCCTCTATTTTATTTTTCCTTTTTGTAAAATAGAGATTTTGACATTGATTCCAAATGGGAATATTTTGATAAGTGTTCCATGTATACCTGAAAATAATTCTGATGTTATTGGGTAGGGCGATATATGTAGCCAGGTTTGCTACTCATATTGATCAAATCTTCTAATGATTTTTTTGGTTTGGTATTCTATCAGCTATCAAGAGAGGCATTTAAAAGTCTTATGCTGTGATTTTAGATTTACCTACTTTTAGTCTGTTGACTTGTGCTTTATTTGTTTTGAAGCTATGTTATTGGTTGCCTGCAGATTTAGATTTCTTTTTTTACTTTTATTTTTAGAAAGCAGGATTTATTGAGAGGACAGAAAAGCTCCCACAGTGGGAGGGGACCCGAAGGGGTTGCCTGTCAGATTTAGATTTCTTATGTTCTCTTTGGGATTATCGTATTTATTATTATGTTACACCCTCTTTGTCTCTATGAAAGTCTACATTGTCTAATATTATAGCTATGTTCCAACTTTGTTTTGGTTAATGATTGCATCTTATATCTTTTTCCTTCCTTCTACTTTCAATTTTTTTATGTCTTTATAGTTAACACATATCTTTTGTGAGCAGCATACATAGTTGTTTTAAATTCAGACTGATAATCTCAGTCTTATAGTGGGCATATTTAGTTCATTTTCATTCAATGCAACTGCTGATGTACTGGAATTTATATCTACTGTCTTAGTTTTGGTTTGCTATTTGGCTTATCTGTTATGTTGCTTTTTTTCCCTCCTGTCTTGCCTTCTTTTAAATCAAAGATTTTAAAAGTATAGTCTTGCTTCACTTAATAACAGGGATATGTTCTGAGAAATGTGTCATTAGGTAATTTTGTCATTATATGAATGTCATAGAGTATACTTACACAAACCTAGATAGTATAGCTTAGTACATATCTAGGCTATATGGTATAGCCTATTGCTTTGAGGCTGAAAATCTGTATAGCATGTTACTGTAGACACTTATAATACAGTGGAAAGTATTTGTGTATCTAAACATAGAAAAGGTACAGTAAAAATATGGTATTATAATCTTATAGAATTACTTTGTACATGTGATCCATCATTGATGGAAATGTCATGTGGTGCATGACTGTATTTATTTATTTTTTGTTAGTTCTTGTCTTAGTTCTCATTCCTCTACTATTCTTTTGGTGATTATTCTCAAGATTACAGCATGCATCTTGACTTATTACAGTGTAATATAAGTGATTATTTTGATGACTTCTCCAATAATGCTAGTATCTTAGAATACTTTAAATCTGTGTATTCCTCTGCTGTTTGTTGTGTCAGTGTGGAAATGCATTTTATTTCTATATGTTTTATATATTAAATTATTAGGCTGTATTAAACACCACAAGGTATTATTTCTTTGTACAGCCCATATGGATTTGGACTTACCCACATATTTACCCTTTTTGTGTTTGCTTCTTCCTGAATTTCCATAATTGTATTTGGTACAATTTTATTTTTTCTGAAGAACTCTCTTCTCTCTTGTAATGAAGTCTGCTAAGCTTTAATTCTTTTAGTTTTTATTTGTATGCAAATTTCTTTATTACACTTTTGTTTTAGTAAGTATTTTTGCTAGATATAGTATTCCATGTTGAAAATGGTTTCCTTTGAGCACTTTATAACAATATCCCATTGTTTTTGTTGAAAACCTAGCTATAAGATTTATTGCTGCTCCTTTGAAGATAATGGAGTATTTATTTTCTCTGGCTGCTTTTAAGAGTTCCTTTATGTTTCTGTTTTATAGCAGTTTGACTGTGACATGCTTGAGTGTAGTTTGCTTTATATTTAGTCTGTTTGGGGTTTATAGAGTTTCTTGAGTCTGTGGCTTGAAGTCTTTCATTCGTTTTGGAAAATTCTCATCATTTCTTCAAATACTGCTTCTGTCCTATTCTCGCTTCTCTTTCTGAAACTCCAATCACACATATGTTAGATCTTTTTCCTCTGTTCTCTGTGTCTCCTGTACTCCTTTCTGTATTTTCCATCTCTTTTTCCATTTGTGCTCAATCTTATAGGTTCAGAGAAGATGCCTTATCATTTCCTTTGCACTTATAAAATGAGAACTGGATAATTATAGAAATGAGACTTCAGTGGTTAAAGTAGGCACTAGAGAAGACTTATCAAAAGGAGTTGAGCGTGGCTTTGTATACAACCCTGTGGTGGTTACTGGGACCTGTACCCAGGAACTTAAAATTCACATCATTAAGGCAGAAGGAAAGAGAAGAATAAGTAAGGGAGATAGGAAGTCAGAAAGGAAACAAAAAGTGTAGAAATAGGAAGCGATAATACTGTTGGATTCTGTATAGAAAGGATTTTGAGATTCGATACATGAAAACGAAGAGATGCTGGTATGAGAAAAAGCATGTCAGTGGGCCAGGAATGAAGAATTGAGGTAATGGATCCTTGGGAATCCCAATATTTTTAAAAGGTCAAGGGTTCCTTACTCCCATAAACATACTTTGCTGTTAAAAATAGTTTTTGAGATTCTATTGAATTTCCCAAGGCTAGGTAACGTAACGTAAGGTAAGGTAATGTAAGGGTGTTCTCTTTTTTTTGTTAGGAAACAGGCATTGCTTAAGTTGAAATGCAAAGCTGATGGCTCTTATTTCCCAAAGAGTCTAAGACATGTGGGGTACTGTTAATATACCAGCAGAAAGCTTTCTCTGGGATCATTGTGTACCTTCCCTCTGAACTTTTATGTCCCCCATCTCAGTGGTGAAATAACAAACAGTTGGGTAAATGGGCATAGAGTGGTTATTTTTTAATTTTGCAAGTAGGAACATTTAAAACAAACCACCACCACCAACTATTACTGCCATTTTATTTATCTTCCTTAAAGGACATTTAAATAATGCAGACGTTTGAAGGACATGCTCCAAGATAAAGAATAATAAATTGAACCATTTAGTTTTGTGAAAGACTTACCATATCACTTGGTTTCTGGACACTGAGGCCTCACCGTGGCTTGCCAGGGCCTTGAGAGCCACCCTGCAATGGTGATGCTGTTGGACTCCTTGGCTGCGACCCTAGGCTTGGCAGTACTGTGTGCTCTGAGCTGCTGGTATAGTACCCCTTTTG